TGAAGTGAGTACTGTGGAAATAGTCGAATACGACATACAGCGGGGTGATGGTAGTTTGAGGTGAAATGTCAACTGTCGGTTTATAGACTTTTTTGCCGTATGAGTATACGTTGCCCAGGGTGCACTACGTGGAGGTAAGTCCATCGCACACCCCAAATCCAAAAAATAAATTTTTAAGATCAAACATTTATTAATACAGTGTAATGGTAGATAGAACTAGCAATGCATTGATAAGGATTGGCAATTTCGTTTACTTGTGGTTCAATGTTTGGCGATCTTCCAGTTCTTGATACAATTATGACATTTTAAAAGTTGATAATGCAATGGACAAGGAATGAAGTGTGTAACCTCTTTTAGAGCTGACTTAAAAATTCATTTCCGCTTTCGAATAGAATATTTTTCGCTTATCCTTTGTCTACATTAGGCTGTTCATATGCGCAATAATATTAAACATTTCAATGATAAATAATGATTCACACATTTTGACTAATTTAAAATTGGTAAATTCTCCCCTATTTCGTAATTCTTTCATTTTAACACGCTTGTGTCTAATTTAACTTGCTTAATTTCATCGACGTTGTGGATGAGAAAGCTGAATTGGTCTTGAATGACCGCATTGTGTGTTTTGATAAATGAGGGCTATTTTATACATGAATTTCATGCCTACTAAAAGCCGCAGGTAAGGATTACGCTTGAATAATTTCTCAAATAGTAAATCTCTATGCGCACTTCAACTTGAGTCCAGCCCATTATGTGAGTTTATTTTTTTTCACCGATGGCGTAGTGGTTAAAACACCCTTCTGTTAGATACTATGATGTGTAGCTAGTGAACGTCATAATCCATGATAATGACAAAAATTTGAAAAGCGAAGTTTTATAGCCATTAAGTGTCTCCCAAAATGAATAATAATAATAATAATACGGGAAGTAAAAATTCTTTCCTATTCCCTCCAAAATCAGTTAAGCAGCTGTTCATGATTTTAACAATTATCTGAAATTTATAAAACATCCATGGTGGTGTTCAAAGTGTTCGTTTTCAGTTTCGATGGTATTCCTCCAGACTGAGACGCTGTTGGCATTCATTTTTCGCTCATCTACTTCGTATTGCACCCCCCCCCCACTCCTCACTCTCCTCTCCACCCATTTGCTGTGTTTGTTGCAACAGTCTTCTTGAGATATGATGATGAAATATGGAATGAGATAATTTTCATCCACTGAGTGCAATTCTATCAGCACAAAATACGAAAAACCATTGACATGTCCATTAAAATTAAGGTTTTTTTAGCCGTGGACATTAATCGTTAGTGAAGAGCAATTGGGCTTAAACGCACCATTTAAACCGGCATAATAGTGAGCACCACTGGTTAGTTACATTTACTTTCTGAACATAAACAATATCTGTAATTCACTTTGAATAAGAAGGAGGTTTTAGAGCACATCCTTTGTTCCAGACATTTAATTTATTCGTCTACCAAGGGCAAGTCTGCCAGTGGAACTGACCGCTTACGACGAAAAACTGGTTGAACATTGTAGACACTTTTACTCTCCCCTGAGTGTTTTTGAAGTTCCTGGGGTAGAACTGAATAATCATCTCTGCTGTGCTGTAGAATGTGTGCGGTTATAGATGACATTTTTGTGCAAATCCAAAAAGGTTGAATTAACCGAACCAATTGAGACTCAGCATTTTAAGCTGAGTATCTGCTATTTCAGTTGTTGTTGTTGCTGTTGAGATTCTTATGTCCCAACAAGTCAAATTTCAGCTTAGTTTCCGTAATAATTTGAAGGACCCGCTGCAGGCACTGATTAAAGTCAGGGTGGGGGGGGGGACCGTTCTAGTTTCCGATGATCTAATGCTTTCCTAAGCTTCCTTGAGATTATTTCTATACTTGAATCAATGTTTATTTTTGCCTGACATGATTCTCGTTGGCCTGTAAGCTCACATTTCCATCTTGGTTTGATGTCGACACATAACGCAGTCGAAATACCGTTAGATCTGAAGTATCTTTATTTAATTTCGGTTGAGTTTATCCTTGAATGGTGGTGGACATATTGCTAATAGGAAATAATTCAAGATTTCTGGAAATGCCTGTGGGAACAGTCTCTTCCTAATCTTTTGATTTTATTTTTCCGATACTACCTAAGAAAGCGTTATTAATGGAAATACCAATCTTGGTAATATTTTACAGTTATGTAAAATTTGCAAATAATAATATAATTTGTAAACATGTCGAACGATTGCTTTAATTTCTTTTTGGGGAGCAAAGCGCTCTCCTTTAATGCATCATGGGACTGAGTAGGATGAGATTTTCTCATCAGACACACACACACACATGCGCTGGTATACTACATTGCCAATCAGTTTGATATCTAAACATATTTGTTATTAATGCAGGTCGATTGGATTGTCTCTCTCTCTCTCTCTCTCTGTTGTTTCAGGTTCCCGTTCCCCAACTTACAATAGCATTTGAATGCTATTCCAATGTTGTGGTCCGTGTGTTTAGATAATTTCTCAGCTCCTTCCACCTAACCTCCATCTAGTTTTTAGAAAACCTCAATGTTGTAGTACTATTTTGTCCTTTACCCCCACCCCCACCTGACTTCCTAATCATTCCAATCAGATCTTAGTTATAAGTGAGGCATTCACTTACTCCAAACGCTTCTTGTTCCTCACAGAGTTCGGGCAAGAATATCCGCTTTGTGGTAATGAATAACCTCCTACCTTCGTCAGTGAAGATGCATGAGAGGTATGATTTGAAGGGATCCTCTTACAAGCGAAAAGCCAACGAACGCGAATTATCCAAGGCAAGTCCCACGCTCAAGGACCTCGATTTCAAGTGAGTCTGCCTGACTTTCGTGTTTGTAAAATTCGCTTCATTTGTAGTTTTTTCCGGAAGCTGACAAGCACAGGTCATTATTCACTTATCAGAAGCCCAAATTGAGAGGATTGCTGTCTATCTCGCCATCACCCCCCCCCCCCCCCCCCCCCCACCCCCACCCATAAATTCATTCTTTTACAACTCTCCTCTTTTAATAATGGAAAAATAGTAATACCAACAGTCGGATGATATGTTAGGGGTAGATGAGGTCAAATTCTTTTTTCTTTCAAGTCATATATTTTTTACTTAAGAAATCTTGTTCTAAGGCGTTCCAGTAATAAAATATTCAAATTTTAATTCTATTTTCCTGAACGAGCTCCAATATGCAATGTGCATTCCGCATTGACCATTCTGTGACATTCGAGGTCTGTCAAGCCAATTCGACAAAATCGGATATTTCCAATAGTCAAAAACGGCTGTGGCGTTTTAAATAGGAAATTGGTAATGTAATTATTCGCGACACACGTTTTTATTATTTATAATTATTGCTCTTTTTCCCCCATTTCCCCCTCTGTTCAACCTTTAGTGCTGTCGAGATTGTTTAAGTTATAAATCGAATAAAATGGCAATTAGTTCTCCCAGGCCTTTTCCACAATTAGTCGTTACATTGACTTGTTTGTGTGTGTGTGTGTGTGTGTGTGTGTGTGTGTGCATGTGCTCCAGGCATCCACGTCTTGTCACATACAACCTTAATAAGTTGGCTGCAGAAGTTGGAGTAATTAGAACTCGCGAATACACCCCATTCCCCCCTCCCTCCCTCCCCTCCCCCCCCCTCACTTCTCGTCACCTCCCTGATTTATAATTTTGGCGGCTCCGGCGCGGGCATTTCAGACTTTATTATTGCTACTCGTAGTAAAGCAAAAATGCGCCGTCTTATTTAGTATTTTATTTGTTTATTACTTTGGACATCCCAATTGGTGGTTTAAAGCGCTAATTGTACACCACAACAAAGCCATAAGTCATTTCATATCATCTGTCTCCTGTTTTCTTTCTCTTGATTTATATTTCGATCGATCACCTCTGCACATCTTTGAAATTGCGTCAGTAGTAGAATTTGGGTGCAGCAAATAATCAGCTGCAAGAGTTTATCGAAGAAAATTGGCACACTCGGGTTTCTAAGTAAAGCAGTGATTACTTATTCCAAACCTTCCGAGTCCAAAAATGTTTAAGACGTCGGTTTTCAATGTGTCTCCCTTTAAGTTACCCTTATGCTTTCAACCTCTGGTTTGGCAGTAGCTTTATCGACTTCTATACATTTATTATTAATGTGAGTGTGTGGGATGTTTTTGAGTGTCTAGCAGAGGAACACCCTACTGCTCCAAATTATGAGCACATAGGTTCTTTGCCTGCCGTCCAGACATACACGAATGATTTCATTCTCTTGGGAAAGTTAAAAAAAACACTGCTTACTACTTGCAGAATGAGTCCGCTATTTAGTTCTACATCTTACCAGTGACCACTTTAATGGGTCAGCCCTCTTAATATTGGCATTACTAATAATAATTAAATGTGTATTCTACAGTGATCTCTTTACATCTTCGTGATTATGAGTGCAATCGATATAATTTGAACTACTGCAAGACCATCTATTTCTAACTTCCTCTTTATCGTAACTAAATAGTCAATTGTTGGTGAATATGTATTATTTTTAATTTTCACAGCCAAATCTCTATGAAAAAAAATAATTACATTTTCCTCAAATTGAGTTTTATATCTCGACTTTGAAGGCTTACTTCGATTGGAGTATGGTTTTTTGCTGGAGCACAGATGTAAATTTTACCAGATTTCTGAGCTTAAAATTGAAGATTGGCATTTATTTTCATGGGAGTTAAATTTCGTCTAGTAGTCTGATAAGGAGCCTACTATACATAGGGGGTAAGCAGAGATCATAGCGGCCGAAACTAGACTCTTGCATTACAACACTGTTGAAGAATCTTACTTTTCTTATTTGTCGAAATAATGTTCCCAGAGGTGTGTCAGCTAAATACGAAATAAATCATGTTAGCTTTCATTTAGCTTCCATCAGTCATGTCCAGTTGAGGTATGATTGATTGCATGTACCCGGTCTTAAGTTCATCTCTACTTCAATCTCCAGAGTTATTCGAGATCTTATCGCCTTAAGTTGAATAACTTTCTTGACCTTTTTTTTCTAAAAAAATTCATTTTCTCCCAGTGTACCTTTAAACGCGATGACGCTTTAAGCCAAATTAGTTGTGATCACATTTATGTTAAACGTGATGGTTATGCCTCTCCCAACTCCAGCCCTATTGCAGGTAATTTCATTTGGCGAAGTAAGGTTCAGAACTATTCACATGATTGTGACGTTTAATGGTAAACGAAGGTAGAGTAACAGTCAAAATGACTAAATTTTCTAACCTCTTGAACGGTCGAACATGGTCAACCTGAAGAATTTAAGCTACTCAATTCTTCTTCTTTTAAGTAGGCCTCGTCAGTTTTTTCCCTCGGTTCCCTACTTGACATGGTCATTTACTTGACACGGGAAATTTTTATTTTTCGCGATTGTAATGTTGCCATTTCTATGCGAATTTTAATTTAATGAGACATTATACAATAAATATTGGATCATTTATTTATTTATACCAAACGACAGGCGTTTTGATAGTTATCATTAGCAATTAAGTTGACTTTAGGCTTCACAGAGGGGAATGAACATCAAAGTGAAAAAAAAGTCGGGAGGTGGGGGGGGGGGGGGGGGGGGGGGGAGGAACAGAAGAGTGTTTCAAAGATATAAAAGAGACAAACACAAAGGCAGAGAAAAAGGTGAGGTGAGTACTATGGAAAGGGTCGAATATGACATACAGTAGGGACATAGTAGTTTGAAGTGAGAGGGCAACTGCCAGTTAATAGACTTTTTGCCGTATGAGTATACATTGCCTAGGGTGCACCACGTGGAAGTAAGTCTATCGCACACCCCAATTTTGGCTCATTCATCGATAATATTTAAATAGTAGCCAATATGCTAACCACAATCCATATTTTGGACTAGTCAAGTATCGTTAGTTCAATATGCACTATCTCATCCACCATGAAAGATTGAACACCAATTTGAGAAGTGCGCGTTTGGAGAAAATGGGCAATTGTAAGCCTTTTTCCTCCGTAAAAATGTCTTTGCTTTTATTTTTGCTATCAAACACGGTCTCATATAAACCTAACCGCCTTAAATGTCGGTAGAAAAAAATCTTTTGCTTAGGAGTTCAAAGCTTCATTTTTTGGATGGTTATCTCAAAATTTTATTCGCCAACCCTTGTGATAATTGTATTGGTGGCTGTTTTTTTTCGTTTTCATGTCCATTTCAATGGTCAAGATTAATTTTTGCCCACCGATGGTTTCTGTGCTTTGAGGGAAATGTTCCCCCCCCCCCCCCACCTGTTGTTTGACAATCACGATAACTGGTTTCGCATCCAATAGGATTTGTTTGAATTTTAACTCCATCAGTTGCGTATAACTTGGAATTTAACTCTTATCTCCTTCAGAGAACGTCATCCCAACGGTATTTGGCTGGAAGCGGAGACTTACGACGCGCTTATGAAGACTATAGAACGTGATTGCAGAGTAGGTCATCTTTAATGTTTCTATTATATCATATGATTTAATTTCGTATTTTTCGTCATTATCTTTCTTTTTGTTTTATCACACGTTCTCTTTTTGAGTTTGTACTTTACCACCGCTAGGGCATTCATGCTCATTAGCTTAGTGGAATGTGGATATTTATGGGCAATTTTACCCGTTTTTTGTTGTTATCGGTCACTCAACAACCTTTGCTAGATCACGGGCAATCAGCGTGTGCTTGAGTGAGCTGGAATTTAATGGTATGCATCTGATTTGGTGCACTTCTTTGGGGGTATTGATTCTGATTTGTCTCTTTTAAGTGAGTTTACTTTTAGTCAAACAGACTTATTCTGACCAACTGCCTTCAGGCTACAATCAGGCTTAATCAGAACGCACTTCAATCGTGCATTTCTTCAGTATCTGTTCCCTTGTTACCAGACGATAACCATTCTAGTGGTAAATGTGTATTGGAGTTTCACGGATATATTTTTATCACCCTTAGGACTGGAGTACCATCGAATCGAATAGAACTTAAGGTATTACTAACATGCAGGCGTCACTCCCTATCACCTGCTATCGCTCGTTCCGATAATGGTCTTAGTTCCATTAGCATTTCCAGAACCGAAGGTTGGAAGGAAGTCGACATCTGATCATTGATCGTGATGACCTGGGTTGGGTATTTCACTCACATCTATTTACAAACGCCAAGATTATATGCGCACTTGGAAAAGCGAAGAGTGTATTTGAGCGATTCGATGGATCGTTAGAAATCAATGTTGTCCCATCAAGGTCGCTATCGGCACCTTTCATATATTTATGGTTTACAATGAGTTAACCTCACATTCTCTATTTATTCACTTAGAATTATTATAGTGAAATTTATTCAATGGGGGGGAGGAGGGGTGTTAGTAAACTAGAAAGAGAAATCAGGAATTGTCTTAATTTGTATTGTTGACTCCAAGAAGGGCTTTGGTGTGCACTTTGCTTGAAAAACTCTCAGTTAAGGTAAATTTAAAATTAAAAAAACAAAACAGCGGCAAAAATGAACAGCCATAATAATAATAAAGCACTTCCCTCACTTTGAAGGTATTGGAATCCTTTCAAATAATGGACTACTCCCTCCTACTCGGTGTGCACAATTTTGATCTAGCAGAACGCGAAAGGGTGAGATGTACTTAAATATCTAGCTTTTTCTTCTCAAACTTAATTTTTCTATTGCACAATGTTACGCAAAGTTTATCATTCATTCACTCAAGCACTTCACGGAACTTGTCTTACTCACTTGCTCACTGTTTTTTGTTCCTTTTGCTTTTTAGCAAAATCGTAAACGCAATCAAACTTCCAAAGATGGTAAGATCGTAATCGCATTTTTTTCTTAATTTTGTGCATGTTTTTGTTTTGTTTTGTTTAAAGCTTTCAAAAGTTGTGCTGTTTAGGCAAGCTTTCAAAGCAGGCGATTTTAGCTGTTAGCACTTTTCTTATCCATTTTCATTCTACAATCTTGAATTGTTGGAATCAATTGAAATCGGTTGAGAGATGGTGCAGAAGAGGGTATAGAGACTAGCGTCTAGGAGGCATCTTCAAGTTCTATTTCAATTCATGCATTTTGGAATCAGCTTTTGCATTACTTACAAAATGGTTCGCTCACATGTGAACATGTTAATTTTATGCTTGGTTTCCTGTCTACGATAGCAATACATTTCTCTAATATTCAATGCTTAGTGAACGGCTCTTTGTTTTCTTTTGAAATCAAAAATGGTCAGGCTTTCTACTTCATATTCATTGCTTTTTTCCCGAGGATGAAAATACGAAGCGGTCTTGTGTTATTTGAGCATCTTGCATGGCAGAAAGGAGGTGACTAAAGCAGTTCTTGTGGGGCAGCTTGAACTGGTACTTTTGATTGAGAACACCTCAAAAGACGCATAATTAAGATGTTAAACTGCGATTGGATTACCCAGTGTAGAAAAATGTCTCTTCATAAAACTCTCGTTCCTACCAGGAGGGAAGATGGAGAATTAAGGAACATTTGCTTATTAAGTATAAGGGAGAAGGGTATACGATGGAGTCATGTGGAATGTTGAAAAGGAGGAGGGGCTATAAACTTCCAACGGGGATGATATACGGCAGTTGACGGATATCTTATCCTTTGTTAATTGATGAGCAAATTACAGTTACCTAGGTCAGAGGTATTCGTGCATTGCGTGTAGAGATTGAGTATACCCATAAGTTAGCTCACGTTGTCAATGCTAACTCGCATTTCATGGGGCTAATTTTGTTTCAGGTATCGAAAGTATCCCATTCTACCTTCAATCAACCACATAACTTCTTACTATTATTAAATCATAGTTTGGTGTTTAGTACAAACAAATATGAATATAAAAATTCTTCCATGTAAACACCTCTTTCCTTGAATGTTGGGTTTCGACTGTACCCCGCGTCACCAAATAGCTCGATCCAAATGCTTTGGCTGATTTTATTGTTCCCTCTTTCCAATTCGCATCGAGTTCCTGAATCACGTAATCACATTTGATTGAATTAAATCATCTAATAGAATTGTATTCACTTCAATTTGTCATTTTATTGATACAAGGCTATGATTGGTCAATTTAAGCCAATTTTGACAAATGTGTCAGACGCCAAACCTATTGTCAACCGCACCATTGTATTCAAGCGTGCCGATGTTTTTGATTAAACGCGAGAGAGTCAATGACCTTGTCTTCGCAACATCTCATTTCCTATTTTTGTTTGTGGCAGTTGTAATTTTGTTTTCCTTCCCATTTTTTAAAAATTTTTGCATGCTATTTATTTCTTCTATGATCTCCCGCTCCTCTTCCCCCCTCCCCCTCTTGTTTCAAGTACGTGCCTTGTTGCCTCATTTACGGTCATATTAAGATTGCATCTTCTAGTAGTTTTACTCTTCACTTGTGTAATGCGTGTGAAAGTGGTTCTGAGTATCGATTTCTTTAGATTTGTTTTCGTTGGTATAACGTGTCTGTTTGTGTGTTAGAATAGCGGGCATCCCTAAACGTTTCCGCTTAATATGGAGGGTGTCAGAATTCGAATCTCTCTCTCTCCTGATGTTCCACGATGTCTTTCTTCATCCCAGATGAGCGTCAGAAAACGCTTTCCTATGCGGGCTTTAATTGTTTATATATGTTTCTTTGATAAGTATAAATTACTATTCCATTAAGCTCATCATATTACTTCGCCTAAATGAATTTATAGAATTAGTCGTTATTTCAAAAACGATTTGAAGAAAATACGAAATACTTGGGAAGGAGAAAATTATAATCACTCTCTCAATTTATTTTAAGTTGGTTTGTTGATTTAATGATAAGTTACGCCCTAACCTTCTTGCCCTTTTTGTTTGTATTTACATGGAGTCTCTTTGGTGATTATTGAGCTTGAGGGCGAGCGTATTAGTGTTCGGAATGCGTCTTTCTTTGTAGTCTTGGAGTAGCTCAGTTCTCTAAATGTTTCCTTAATTATGTTAACAACTTTATTACTATCCTCATGCTATATAAAGTACGTTTTAATCACCCCTTCCCCCCCCCCCTCCCCCTCCCCTCCTACTCTCCCGAAACAAAATGTATTTGCGCGAATTCGCGTTGTTTTATCGCTTCAATACGTTTTTGCTTCCACCTTGAGTGTAATGAAAGTTTGTGCCAAGAACGATTGTCATTATTTTTTTTTGCCAATAGAATTAGACAAACTTAACGAGGTTTGTTTACAGTGAGCTGTTGCGGTATGCACTTTGTGCATAATTTAATTGAAAGCTGGAGTTTGATAATGCATCGTCACCATTCCGCTATGTCATCTGAGTTAGTGAATGCTGCTTCGCTTTATCCTCAAAGTTGCCATTTAATGAAACCCAGGAATCGCCTTTCTGTACTTGAGTAGAATTGTTGAACTAGGCCTGTGGAAATAAATCGAATCATAGAAAGAGGTTTGTTGGTTTGGTTTTCTGAAAGTTTACTACCGTTGTTGCCTACAGTAAACATTTTCAACTGTAATCTTCACATCGTTAATCTGCTAATTGTATAAATCGAGATGGGATGTCGACTGTTTAGCGAGATTTTCCATTGTCTTTGGTCTATTATCTTGATGTAGTTGCCGATGACGTCTCCAGTAGTGGTAGTGGCCAGGGAGCTGGCACCGAAAGGGCAATTTCGCCGTCTGCAACTGGAACCACTTCAGTTTCACAGCATCAACGAAATGATGGCGACGTGCTCTCTTTCGGTAGTCGTCGGTCAGCCTCGCCCTTTTCTCGTTCCGCATTCCGTGCCGCTCGATCAGGTGGCAACAAACGACTGGCCGCCTACTCCACTGCCATGGAATCAATTGAAGCCAAAGCTGAGCCTGTGGAAATTGAACCCATCGACTCCCAGAAGGCCACTCTGTAAGTTCGGCTCTTTTAACCCCCTCTAGCAGATTCACGTAATTTATTTTTTAAGCATTTTAAGCTCTAAATTTCAAACCTGCTCGGTCTTATATATATTACCTGATCTTGCCGTATAGTTACTAGTGCAGATTAAGAGAATTGCGTATGCATTGACTGCCTAGTCTATATTTTGTTGCGCCCTACTACTTCCCAAGGTGTCAGAATAGAGCCGTCAATCATTTTTCTACCTCGTTTCTCCTTAGTCTCGGGGGTTTACCTGCTCGAAGTTATTCCGGTGATCGTCTCTTTCTCTTTATCGGTATAATCGATATCCTCCAGAGTTATCGAATGATCAAGAAGATGGAGCATACAATTAAATCTGTAGTCATTGATGCGGTAAATTAATTCATTCCTATACTTATTATTTAGCGGTAGACCCGAGCAACCTTTTGTCTATACACTTTTTTCTTCTCTTTTTTCCCCAGGAGACCGTATCAGTGACAAATCCTAGCTTTTACGCCAAGCGATTCCAAAATGCCATTGGCAATTTCATATTCCGGCGAACTCCCTCTCGTAAGTTTTTTGAAAAAAAATAAACGCAATAGTATATTCATGCGTTTCATTAAACTTCTTTATACGATGATGATGATGATGATGTCTAACATAATACTATTTTATTCCACCTCTATGCTTTCTCTCTCCCACTTCCGAATACCTCCTCGCGCGTCATATTTCATATCTCTGTGTAATCGTCGTTCGAATCCATTCGTTGCGTTCGTTCCCTCGTTCGTTACTTCTATGTTGTATCTTCCCACTCTCTAAATATCTGCATGACAAATCAAACAACTCTACAGTTGATCCGCCCCAACTGTTTGGTCCTAAAGCGCGGCGTTTTAGGCGCTTAGCTCATCTAGGTCCGTCTTGCTTATCTACCCCCCTTCCCCACCAATCTTTGTTTGTCTCTTCGTCTCTATGCTTGCTTGTGCTTGCATCTCTCATTCATCCCACTATTTTGTGTCTTTTCACTCACACCCTACTGCTTAGGTTGTTTCTCCTAACCCTAATAGATTTCGGATGGTTTGGGTTCCCTTAAGAGGAACATCTAACATTCGGCATGCTAACGACCTCACACTGTGATAGGTCTAGCGAAATTATCAGTATGTATCACTAATTGTCAATACGTCTGTTTTTTAATAATTAGAAGGAAATGCCAAGAGTCAAGGTAAAATTTACTTCATTTGGTGTTGAAATGCCTTGTCTAATCTCTTGGTTAGAGTACCTAACTACTTATTAACTTAATCAGTAGGACCACGTCTTATTTGATAATCTCACTCCTAACTACTTATTAGCCTCACAAGTGGTATAACTCACCGATATCTCATTATCTTGTCACAATCGTACTAACTTGGTGTTAATTACACGTGTATTTTGGGAAGTTTATCTAGTGGAATAGTGTATTGAAGTCTTCCTACTTATTAATGTCATCAGTAGCATTAAATCAATGTTAGATATTATTATTAAAAGTCTGCCAACCAGGTATCGTGCTAAATCAATCTTTCTTTCTTGTCATTGTAAGGGTCGATGTACTTCTTACTAATTACTTCTTTAACGATATTTAATTTCTAACCGCGTAAACCGGACGTCCATTTACTAACTTTCCCATCGCGGCATTTCCGTATTTGCCGATTATCGATTTTTGAATGTGCTCTAAATCGGTTGTCTTGTATAAGTATCGACTTCTTCAACCCTATTCTTTGCACGTTACATTTGATGACATGATTGCACGACATGTGAAATGGACTTGGTTAAATCTGTATTGGTTTGTTAGAGTTTCAGTTTTCGATTTCTAATCATATTCATCAACTCCCTTTTAATCTGTGCTTCATACAGCTACTGCAGCAGTTGGTAAGTGTCCTCAATAAAGTATTCCTAGTAGTGTTTAATGGCAATCTTGTTATACCTACTCCCTCATGTCATGAATTGCTTGCTTTCCTTGCAAGTTGTGTCTCCCCTATGTAGTTGGTATCCTAGCTGATGTTATTGTTTTTCATTTTCATTCGTTATATTTGTAGATATGTCGATGTGCACTTAGAATGGCTTGATTAGATTTGGTTCCCTTACTATCTTCTCAGTAACCAAACCATTTTCTTTCGTTTCCACCATTTTAGCCATGAAACAAACTTCAGCCCGACGAAGACAACTGCAATTCTCAAAACCCCCTCTTCCAATTTCAAATCAAAGTGGTAAATCTTTCTTCTTCTATTTTTATGCCTTCGGAACATTTGCCTTTCTAATTTTTTCTTTTACTTCTCTTTAGATTTCAAAACCACACAAATGTAAAGCTAACCTACCAGCATTCAGTTTTAAATGTTACACACTACTTTTCGTTATTAAGTAACAATGTCTATTTACTTTGCATAGGTGCACAAACAATGATGCCTTATCGTCAGTTACAAGTGAGTACCTTCTCTTAGCATAAGCGTATGATTTGCTCTGTCAAGTTCATAAGTTTTTGCATGTTAATTGTTGCTCTGCATGCTCTTGTGGTCTTACCAAAGTTCCCCCCTCAAGTTTAATTTTTACATTTAAACCCCATGACAGGTAGTATGGCCAGTCTTTCTAAACATAAATAAGAGAAATAGTTGGTTCAGGTTGTACTTCTCTCTTTGCCTCTTAGCTTAAGTATAATGTCAAATGTGTGATTAACTTAATGATTACTGCAAGTATCTAATATAAAGCTTTTTCCTTTTTTCCTTATTCTCTCTCCCCTCAAAACGATTGGCGTTTCCCCTCGATCAATCTAACAGCGACTGCGGTAACATTGCCAGTAGAAACTCAAACTCCTCCTACTCCTGCTCACCAATTTGATCCCGCACTTTACCTCCGAGTGCTTATTTTAAGTGTCTTGCTGATTTTCCTGCAAGTTCTTTCAGTCCTCTTAGGTCCTCCAAGGTAGCGAAGAGGGATAAAAAGTTTGAAAGAGCCTAGCCCCCTTATCAGATTTCATGTGCACCATGCATTTTACCTCGTTTGTCACCAACAGTCTTTCGATTTTCTCATCATCTCATTTTCCTAACTTTACCTTGATCTCAAATCGTCCATGTTTGTGTATAGTTCCCTATTAAATTTATATCTGTATTTGTATCTTTTGACGGAAAATAGATGAGTTAAAGTCTAACCATTCCTAACGTTTGTAAACAAAAATCCACTATTTAGAAGGTGGCATTTTGAATTGCTTTAAGTGTTCTTAGTTTTGGTTACTGTTAGAGCTTTGCTTTTGAGTAACGTCTTAAATGTTCCTCCTTTTTGGCGTTTCTTTTCCAGATGGTAATTTTTTGTTTAAACTAAACAGCTTGTGTGTATGGTTGGTTCTTAAATGTTCGCGCAAACTGCTTACTACCCCTTTAGGCGTTTTGAATGCGTTGATTAGTCCTGAGTTTTAATTTTTATTTGGGTTGTTTTTTTTGTAATAATGTTCATCTCTTTTCTTGCCTCTCATTTCCCCTTTCATCGATTAATCCATTTGTTTTAACTAACTTCTAATCTTATCGCGTTTTCTAACCTCTGGGGCACCCTATTTTATGTGTAATTTGCACGCACCGCTTCCCAAAATTTGCGCACATTAAAATAAAAATAACGTTGCATTATCACAACCTCCCCCCCCCTCCCCCCCTCCTATCACTGCGTCTAAACGACACACTCAATTGATAATTCCTTAGCTTGGCCTCGGCAGCGGTTCGTGAATTCACTTTCAAGATTCCCCTCATCATACTCTTCGGGCTATTCCACATTGGTGAAAAATCGATACTATCTCCCATATCAGGGAAGTGCCAACTGGAGTTTAGGAAGTCCTGACCTCTCTCATTCCGCTTCTGTACCAGTCTGTCAGATCGTGGCTTCTCCTCTTTCTGAACCGCGTTTTCCTCACTCCTTGGGAAGTGAACTTTCCTGGTGTGAACAGTCTATTATGAGTTTGAAAATGGGCTCTGAATCTGATCTCTCAGATACTAACACTACAACAAGTCATAGTAGTGAAAATATAATTAATCGTGCTGAACCTACAGATGGTACTGTTATGACATCTATGGGTCCGAAGAAGGTGGAAGATTTGGATAATGAATTGGTTGCAGTTCAGAAATTATTGCGACGACAACGAGCTAAAAAACGGCGCCAAATGTTAAACAGTTCTGAGACTAGTTTGCATGCATCCTCTATGGGAGATGTTCGTTCTGTGAACCAGTTTAATAAATCCACTCCTTCCTCGGCTGTGTCACAAATGAATTTGAAATCGACTTCCATGGTACCGCCACAGTATGCCACTCTATCTAATCAGCATGCTCTCCACCGAACTCAGATGCCAACACTTGTTGACTCTCGCAGTCGGACCCCCTTGAGTGCACGTAAGGGACTCCCAACGAAGGTGCCCTCTCCTCTTTCTAACTCCAAATCAAAACCTCTCATTTCTAATGTCTCCGTCTCTTCTTCTGCTCTCTGTACTTTTATGCGTGATGCTGAATCAGAATTTGATACATCTGCGTGATTTTATTTATAATCTTAATCTCCTCTTTAAATCTCAAATTTATCCTAAATTGGGAAATTTGGAGGCTTGATTTGTAACGCCCATATGCTTACGCCCTATTTCTTTTCACTCTCTTTGTTGTTCGCATGTGGTCCATCTCCCACTCCTGTGCCTACATTATGTCAACGTGCTTAGTGTGCATGCTTCTTCGTGCCCTGTTTGAGAAAGAACTCTAATGAAATCGATGTTGCAGGTCCACAACAACAGTATCAAAAGAACGCACGATGATTTTGTGGATCAGAAAAGTCGAACGATGATTCTCTTTACCCCTATGAACTCAATTAGCGAGGTTTTCTCCGCTTGCCCTCTTTACCCTTACTACCATGTGTATAGCTATTCACTGAAATCCGTGTGTGTGTGCGCGCGCATTAGCACCTCAATATTTTATTCCATTCCTGACACTTTGTCTCCACCTGTTGTCTTATGTGGCACAAGTCATAGCGTAGTATGCTAACACTATAACAACTAGATGTGTGATAGAACC